AGGGTAACATTTTAAATCAGTTATCACCCCGAGGTGGTAAGCATTCTTAGCACAGGTGGCTGTGTCAGCCTTGAAACTTTCAGTGTGGAGTCCCCATATTTGCCTGACTACAGGACAAGGAGGGGGGAGAAGCCAGATGTGACGGGCTGCCCACTGCTCCCAGTCATGTGACTACAGTGGGGGCTTGGGTGGGGCCAGGGCTGCTGTGGTATGCATGGGTGTCACAGCAGGCATGAGGTCTGGGATGCTCATGGTGGGAAGGGGATGCACAGAATCCTAGGCTGTTAGAATTAGGCAGGCTTAGGGGCCAGGGAGATGGCTCAGTAGAATAAGCGCTTGCCTGGCAAGTGCAAGGGCCTGAGTTCAATCCCCAGTTCTGCCGAGGGGGGGTGGGGGGGGGAAGAATTAGGCAGGCTTCCAGGGCTGTCCCTTGACTGAAGTGACAGTCCCCAGCAGGTCTAGCTTGGCCTCAGGTCACGCAGACAGCCTGGCCATTGTGAGCATGGACAGAGGCCCACATCATGGGCACTATGGCTGCCGGGGCCACTGTGCTACCCACATCTGCTATTATAGCAAGGCAGAGAAGGTCCTGCGACACCACCAGGAAGTTGAGTGTGCACCTATCCTCCCCTCAGGAATCTCAAAGAGTTGGGAACACTGATTCCTCACCCCAGGGCCCAAATCCCTTTCCAGTAGCATGAGCACGAGGAGCAACACATCCTTGCTAAGTAAGGATTTGGATTGCTCAGCCCCAAAGCCCCCAGAAAGGACTGCACAGGGAAGCAAGGGCAGGTGGAGACCCTACCGCGGCCAAGCTTCTCCCTTTGCTCTCAGAGGTCTCAGGGGGCCCGAGGGCTCACACCAGAGTCTGCTGAAGCAGTTTCACCATGATGGCTGGCGAGAGGTCAAGGCAGATGAGACTGCTGGGAAGGCATGAAATGCCCACCAGGTGAGAGTGTGACCCTCGGGGGCCGAAGCACTCTGAGGACACCAGGGGACCGTGCAAGGCCCGCGCTGTGCTGCCTCATGGCGGGCACTCTCCACACACCCTTGCTGTTATCTTTTCTGCTTTCTCTCTGGACAAGGAAATTGGAGAGTGAGAACAGGAGCACTGACACCTGGACTCTGACCTGGCACCTGGCATGTCAGAATCAGGAGGTTTGGGGGTGTCCTAGAGAACACTCACATGCTTCCCTTCACTCCAGCTCCTGCAGGGCCCAGTAGGGGCTCGGTGTGACCCAGGAGCCAAGGTGGGAAGGTGACCCCGCACTGCCTCTGCCCTCTTGGCGCTCACTCCCAGCACGTCTGGCTGCACTCACATCCAGCCTTGTTTGCCTGTCACTCCAACCACAGACACTTGTTTTCCTGCCTTTCTTGTAACTAGAAGTGCCAGGCGACCATTTCAGTTGGCAAGAAGTGTAGGAAGGCTCAGGGGCTTCCTGAAGGGCTTCACGTCCCTGATGAGAATGCAGCTCGCGCATCCATTTCCTCCTCTTCCTGCCTTCACTACAGATGTGATGCTTGCAGCTGGGGAAGCTATTTTGTGATCATAAGACAGCAAGCATGAAGATGAAAGGATCATGAGGAGGCTAAGGATGTAAAATCAAAAGACAGCTTTTGATAACAATTGTTCAGCTGCCAAACCAGTGTCTATAACTCATCCACCACCACATGATTTTTTTTAATCTGAGAAAAATAATCTGCAGTTTGAAAAATTGAATTGAATTAAAAATTTGAAATTATTAAAAAATTGAAATTATTAAAAAATTTGAAGCTATTAAAAAGATACTAAAAATTATTGAAAAGTTCTTTGTAGCAATTCTTATGGATACATATCTTTTCTAAGTGAATGTGGGAGTTTCTCCTTTTATCACCTTTGCAATATTGCCATGAAGATTGAAATCATGATGTCACCAGCATAGTCTTCATGATTATTATTATCCTTGTCCCAGAGAGAAGCTAAAGCTCAAGAAGAGCAATGGCTTGTTTACCTGGCTCAGTAGAAGCCATGCAGGCAGAGGCGTCCGAGGCCGCCTCCCACCCTCCTCCCCACTCTCCTGTCAGTATCTCAGGGTCACACTGGGTGTGGCCACGCTCTTGCTGGGCAGTACAGACTGCTCGCAAAGGGGCAGCATAGAATTATAGCCAAGGTGCAACCAGTTGGGGCCATCATTAGGGAGAGGCAGACCAGGCCTCTCGGCTCTGCAGAATTGTGAGGCTGCAGAAATGAACACAAATCCCAGCAGAGATGTTCATGTGCACTTTGTGGTGGCCATGGTGTTGTAAATCAGTGCACTCTGGCTGGGCTGGGATCCGCTGGGCTGGGAGCTGGGACCCTAATGGTAAGACCCGGTGGCACTCCGACCCAGGTGTCAAGTCAGAGGTGAGCAAATAGGATTTCTGAGGGGACACAGGGACAAGTCCAGAGTTCTGCAGTGACTGGCTTAGTTGAGGGCTACAGTTATCATCCTAGTTTGTATCTGGTTCAAAGTGCAAATGCTCAGGAAAGATGGCATCTCCCGTGTCCATCTCCTCAGGCAGCGTGGTGAGGCTACCAGCTGCCTGGTAGGCTGAGTCTGAACTGAGATCTGCAGTGAGATCGCAGCTCCTGGGCACAGGGTCAGACTTATCTGGGGCCTGTGTGGCACCACTGCTGTTCTGTACACCTCCCTCTTCCTGGGTGCTGACCTGCAGCAGGCCCGGAGCTGGCCTGGACTCTGAGAGGTGAGCCCTCAGTGACTGTATTTGTCACTGCTGGGAATCTGGGAGCCAACACAAGAAATTCCTAAACACAGTTCATAGTGCAGACAGCAGAGCAGGCAGTACTGCTTGCCTCCCAGATGCAGGATGACACTGCCCTGCAGTGGCGTCACAGACCATTAGTCCCACCAGGACAACCCTGACGTGGCTTTGGGTTGGTGAGTCCTCAGATGGGGCCTTGGGTCCTGCCTGGGTTTTGTTCCAGGAACAATACCTCGGGGGGCTTATGTGGAGCCCACAGTTCTCCTGCACTGCGGATCCAGCCTACACAGCCTCAGGCCACTGTATGCGCTTCAGTCATGACCATGGGTCCATGGGCCCAGCCTTGTGATCCACGAGGGCCCCTTGTAAAGGGCTCACAGTGTCCTACTAGCCAGTGTTAATCATGTGTACTGGACTGGCCCAACATCCTCGTCACAGTCACGATGCCACATTTGGGGCTTTCAGAAGCTCAGGCCTGGGGCAGCCTAGCCCCATGACAGGCTGCCCTCTCTTCAGCCCACGTTAGGGAAAAAAGGAGGAAAAACCCAGAGGTGCAAGCTCAGCAGGACATGTTGGTCTCAGGAGAGCACCTCCCTGGCAGAGCCTCCTTACCAGGAGACCGGCCCTCTAGGGGACCTGCCAGTGAGTCACAAGTTGGTAGGGAGGCGTGGCCATGGCTCTTGGTGGCTAGAAATCAGAATGACTACAGGAGATGTTGAAGGAATCTGACTGCTGCCAAGCTGGCCAGAGAGCCCTGTAAACCCTTCTCTGGAACAGCTGCACCCAGTGACTCACACCATTATCCACCCTGCTACTGATACCAACCCATGTCATCATTCATTCCTGCGGCTAATACCTACCCTCGTCTGCACAGTCCCAAGCTTCGTCCTTGGGCAAATATGCTTGGCAGGCAGCCAAGACCCCTTTGCTAAACTCCCTGCCCTTCCTCATGACCCTGTGAAACACCCCATGGCCTATGCGAGAGCTACTGGCCTGGTCTCCAGGACCAGCGCAGTCCCTCTCAGGTTTGTTCTGAGACCAACATGTCCTGCTGAGCTCGCTCCTCTGGGTTTTTCCTCCTTTTTTACTGACAAGCATGTCACTGAGAAGCTTGTGAAGTAGAAGTTTTAAATACTCAGTTATATGCAACGGTCATTAAAGGTAACAGTGTGGAAACTTTATAAAGGTTATTTTGAAAATAAGCCAGCAAGAAAGAACAACTGTGTGAAAGATAAAGCCTAGATTATAGTTGGAATGTTCATATATTTAATAATCAGAGGATAATACCAGTAACCCATAACAATATAAATTTAGGTGAACTATTCAATATCTTAAATGCATAAACATTGCCGAAGTTGTTTAACTGCCCTCTTCCTGAGGTCACAAAGTTTTTGCTCATAAAGGATCCTTCATATTGTGAAATGTTCAGAGGGAGCAGAATGGTACTTTTGATATTAGTCTTACTTTTAATAACAGAGGAATAATAAATTAATGCAAAAGTTCTCTGAAATTAAAGCTAATATGTGAAAGAAATTTAATGGGGTCTGAGCTTCCTGTGGGGTTGGGCCATGGGAGAAGAAAACCTAATTATTTTTATAAAAATAGAGTATTTCCTGATTTAACTTTTGCCTTTCTTTCTCAATTGTCTCGCATCTATGAGGTTGGTTAACCGACAGCAGTTACTTTGTTCCTTGCATTTATTGTGCAATGATGCAACCTGGGTGGCACCCTGTGCTCCCGCAGCCTAGGACGGAATCACAGTGGGCCTGACCTGGGACCCCCTACAGGCCACCCAAGGTCTCCCCAGCACTGGGAAGCCCCTCCTAAATGGTCGAAAGAAGAGAAAGAGAATCAGCGTAGTTAATGCTGAGGCAAGCCTGGATTCCAATAGCTGTTGAGCTTCTGAAGAGGCAGGAAAACAAAAGTGGCTTTTCAATGATTTTGTCCTCAGTTCATGGAGTTGCAAAAGTAAAGAGAGTGAAATCAGGAGGAGAAAGTGCCACCAGTTTGTGTTAATCCCAGTGACTTCTGGAAAACAGTTTACAATGCTTTGGTGGGACTACATGTTTAAGAAATCCTGACTGGGAGCTCAGGCAGTGAAGGAAAGCATTTCCCCCCTGCCCAGGTCCCTTCTGTGTGTAATGACCCCAGCCAGTCAAGATGCTAAAGTCCAAGTGGAGCTGAGGCAGTGCCTTCATGTTCCCAGGGGATGGGTGGGGGGTCCATGTCCCCCTGGGAGGGGTGTCACCAGCTCTTACCCAGTCGGTTGCAGGGGTTCCTCTTGAAGAGGGCTCTCAGCAAGCTCTGGGCCTCCATGCTGAGGAACTGCGGCATCCCCAGCTTGGCTCTGAAATACAAGCACACAGGGCGAGAGGGGGGTCACTGAGCGCAGGGGTTTCTTCACTCCTCTGAGGACCTGTTCATTCTGCACTGGCAAACCTCAGAATCAGCAGGGCTGCAGAGCCCCAGCTTTGACCTTAGCGCTCTTCTGCCCTTTAAAAATTCTTGAAGACACCAAACAGCTTTGGCTTATGTGGCTTGTATCTATGATATTCATTATGTTAGAAATTGTGAGTCCAAAATTCTTACAATTATAATTTAATAATTCATTTAAAGTATAATAAAAAGATTAAAATAGCAATAATGATTCCATTAGCGCCAACAACACTTTCAGTGGCAATCAGCTACAGTTTCCCAAACCAAGACAGAAGGCCTCTAGCAGCTAGTGGTGCCATCCGCGCTCAGGTGGGTCTCTTCCTGGCTGAGCACAGCTGCGCTCTCACCTGCCCCGACAGCAGACTGCTGCAACAGTGTGAAGGCACCTGGGGCAGGAGGACTGCACACCCAAGGAGGCTCTCCGTGGCGGGGCTCCCTGGCCGACCCCGAGGACCCAGCTTTGGTGTCCCCCTCAGAAATCCCACTGCCCCCTGATGATGGCAGGAGTCTAGCCCTGAACTTTCCAGGGGAATTATTCCAGCTGTAAAAAGACTAAAGACTGTCCTCCCCTTTCAAGTCCCAGTGAGCATCTCAAGCAGCACGGCCATAGTCATAGGCATCCCACAGTAAGCCACTTGCTAGAAAACTAATTAAATAAAAGGACAGCATCCTAGCTTGGCATACAGGCCCCCGCTCTCAGGTTTCCTCCATCCATCACTCATTCCCTGTAAAGAAGAACAGAATTTACAAAAACTTAACTGGCAGCTTCTTAGGTGCCTCCGAGTTTACAAAAGCCCCAGAGCAACTGCAGCAGAGTGCTCGCTGCAGTCACACGGACAGATCTACGAACTTCTCCACCTAGTAGTACTATTTCTGCTGCCCTGCTCTGCGGAGACATACTGACTTGGAGTCCCAGCCACCTGGCTTCTTGCCCTTCTGTGGCCCTCACGCCCAGCTCCCATCTGGCTGTTGTGCCTGGGAGGCTCTGAGGACACTATCAGTGCACTTGGATGAGAAGCCACTCCCTTCAGGCCCACGACCAGTGATGACAACTTGCACTCTGGGGTGGCTGCCCTACTCACTTCAGGATGAGGGCCATGGTCTCCTTCCGGTCCTTCCCCTGGAACGGCAGGGAGCCAGTGAGCATCTCGAACTGCAGAGTAACACAGAACAGGATGAGTTGGTTCCTTTCCCCCAAAGCTCAGCCTGGCCCCTGTGGGGTGGGTCACCAGGGGAGCATGGTCTCCGGCATTCACACAGGGAACTGGCAAACCATATGAGGCTTAGGGCCCCACCTTCTCTGCTGAGGGCCAGGGAGAGGCTCCAGCAGTAGCGATGAGGAAGGGAGAAGTTGGGGGCAGTGTTGCCCTTTCATGCCACCCGGTAGACAGTAGACCACTGGCATCTCCCAGATGCAGTCAGCGCACACTGGCTGGGGAAGCTGGAGGCAAGGGAGGACTGGGGGGCAGCCTCTGCTGAGCAGAGTTTCCTGCTCTCATCAGCCACCCTTGGCAAAACCAGGGTCGATTCCACGGAGGCAGCGGCGGCCTGGAATCCTGCTGTCTGAGAACATGCAGACTTTGACTCCTGGTGCGGGATGCAGGGAAGTCACAACAAGACGTCCCTTTCACATACCTAGAACCCTGAGTCTAGCAGAAATGTGCAAGGCATCTACCCTGCTCTGTCCTCATGAGAAGGAAGCCTGGTGCAGGTGTGTACACCGTCCCATTAGATCTGCTCTAGTCTTGACATTGTTATTTATTGCATATGTCTCATTCTCTTTGCAATTTATCCACTAGCATTTTTCCTTTGCATTATAGATATACTTGGAAATGGATAAAAGTAGAAAGACTAAAATCATCACCCTGCTCCCACAAAAGATATGCATGACCATTTGTTATCTCCTTCTAGTACTTTATTGAAGATGTTTTGTCTTGTTTCATTTTATTTTTATTTTTGAAAACCATAAATAAGGTTTTCCACACTAATTATTGATAAAATAATATAAATATAAAACTTTCTGCACTTAGTAGAAAACCTGTGCAATGTCATTTTACATAGGAACACACCAACACTAAACAGTGCACCTACTGCTGGGACATCTACTAGGGATGCTTTCAATTTGCTGTTAGTGTAAGAAGAACATCTGAAAGTTTTCCTGGACTGGCCAGATAGCTCAGCAGATTAAAGCACCTGCTTAGGCAGGCACAGGGACCAGGGGTAGATCCCTGGCCTGCAGCAACAGCCCCCATCCCTGGGGGCACCCTGAGACAGAGATTATGACTGGGTGTGGTGGCGCCCACCTGTAATCCCAGCGTTTCAGAGGCTGAAAAACAGGAAGGATCACTATGAGTCAGATCTGTGTAGTGAGGCCCTGTAGACCCTGTACTAAATACATAAAAAAATAAAAGTTTTCTTAAGATTTGGAGGCATCCATATGATAGGATACCAGGAATGACATTGGAAGCTTAAAGAGACAATGCAGTTAAAACTTTATTAATATTACTCATCAGATTTCTGAAAACAAAATTTAGAATACTCCCTTCCCCTGCCCATGTGTTTCTTTTTTCTGCGACTAGGCCACATAGGAAGACCCTACCGTCTATGAAGCCCCAGGATACAGTACAAGTAGGTACTTAGTAAGTTTGTGACAATGACACATTATTTGAGTGGCCTACACATGTTCTGGCACTTTGGCTTCATTTCCAGCCCCCTTCAGGGCCCCCATGAGGAGGGGATGACTTCTGTACTACTGCTCTGGAGGGAGCTTCTGGGAACTTTTCAGTCTGGAAGCATCTTATTACCTTGGTATGTATGATGAGCATCCTGGGACCCACGTGTGGTAAGACTTTTGCCCTGTGCCAGATAACAAAGGCTTCCAGAGCAGACTGGTCAAGCCCCAGCTTACCCTGGGGCCCCACCCTGAAGCACACATGTGTTGGGGGCACACCCCAAGTGATTCATGCACAAATCAATATCAAGTCAGGCTGAGGAAGCCTACAGAGGGACTTTGACTAGACCCACACCTGGCTTCACTGGGGTAGCCACGATGCTGCCAGGAAAAGGAATAAGTGACTACCTTAAGCAGTGGTTCTCAGACTCCAAGGGACATTTTCCAGGTCGGGAGGCGTGACTGGAGGTGTGGGTGATGCATGCACCCTCTCTGAGAAGGGAAGGACAGGGAGGCTGGCAAGCACACTAAAATGTACAGGATGCCCTACACCAAAGACCTTTTCAGCCCCAAACCTCCATAGGGCTAGGGTGAAGTCTAGCTTCAAAAGATGCTGGATGAACCCTAGACAATGGCCAGTGTGGGGCTCAGGCAGGACCCACCCAAGTTGCCCGGAGAAGGCTGGGGACAGTGAATGAGGAGACTCTTAAGCAGAAAGACATGAAGTCCCTAAGAGCCCCAGATTCAAATTCATTTATGGGTCAGTATTCTTAAGAAGAAAGCAATAAGCTAGTAATTTAATCTAAAATTTCTAAGAAGGAAGCCAGCTGTGCCATGGGTGGCTGGAGTCGGTGGCCGAGTTGTGTCTGCTGAATGGGCCATGATTGCCTACCATCCACGTCCAGTTCCAGGCTGGCAGAGAGTCTGGCCTACACAGAGGCCACACTGGATCATGAGACACTGTCCCACTTGGGTGGAGGAGGAGAGAGGAAGGGCCATTATGATGAGCACGTGGGTATGGGGGTGGGGGACTGTGGCAATGGAGTTCCTGGTCTCAGTACCATTTGATTATAAGCTTGTTCTGGGAAGAATGTTCTTTTCTAAAAGTAGATGCAAAAATGTTTAATTCTACGTATACTTTGGCTCATGCTAAATATTATAGTTAAAGTTTGAAATAAAAGTATCTTTCATGTGGAAATCATCACACCCCTTAGAAATCCTTGCGAAATCAGTGTTAAGTTTGGACCTTTAGTGCATTTACGTTGTTTTTCCTAAAGTGTATTTGGTACAGGGTCTCACTACACAGCTCAGATTTGTAAGGACCCTCCTGTTTTCAGGCTCACCAGGGCTGGGATTATAGGTGTGCCCCACCATGCCAGGTCTCGCACGCCAGGGGCCAGGGCCAACATGGCCTGTGGGGCCAGGGCTCGAACCCTCGACCCTGAGCTTGCCTGCGCAGGCGCTTAGTCTGCTGAGCTATCTCACGGGCCCTGTATTTGCATTCTTCATTGAATCTCATTTCCATTTTGTGACAGTGGGAGGCTGGGACGGACAGAGGAAGGCGCTTCCAGGACATGCTCAGAAACTCACTGTCTCTTCCTCATGCCAGAGAGTGGGGTAGGCTTCCCTCCCCTGGCTCCATGCTCTCTGGACCAACATGAGTGGGACAGTCCACCTGGGGATGCCTGCTTCTCTGCCCAGGAGGCTACTGAGGACAAGCCGTTACCATCAGCACTCCAAAGGACCACCAGTCAGCGCTCTGTGTGTGTCCACGCCGATTCACCACCTCAGGCGCCATGTACTCTATGGTCCCGCAGAACGAGTAGGCTCTCTTGTCATGGTCGATAGCCTCCTTGCTCAGGCCGAAATCTAAATGTAATCAAACCATAAGGCATGGCCTCAGACTCTGAGCGGATAAAGGGCTATGCCTAGGCAGACCCTGTCACTTGTCAGTGTTGCCAAGGAATGGGCAAAGGAATGACTGACCCACCCCTTCCCTCCCTCCCACTCAGGGGCAGCAGAGCCCTGCTGAGGGTCACACCAAGCCTAAGCAAACATGCAGTGTGGCTGCTTCCTGAGGCTCAAATCCACAAAGTGGGCTGGTTGTGGCTTGGTAAGGTTGACAGGGCCTTGCAACAATACTAAGACCAGCTTCTTGGTGGCTGACATGAAGTCCCTAGAGATCCCTGTCCACCCGTAAGTACCAAGGGGCCTCAGGACCCCACTGAAGGTTGGGGATGCAGGCCTGAGGTGCATGGAGTTGCTCTGGTAACATAGGAGGGAGGCAAGGGGAGGGATGCATGGCTCGGGTGGGAGGTTCCTGACTGGCAAGGTTGGGAGCCTAGAGAGCCTATGTTGATTGTGAGGAAGAGACCAGGCCAGGGCTGGGGGGTGGGGGGGCAGAATGCAGGGCCAAGAGATGGCCCCGTCTGATGCCCAGACCCTGAGGACAGGCAATTTCACAGCTGGGACCCACTGGTGTGCTTAAATATCTGGAAGTAGGAGATGGTGGTGGATTATCTGGTGGGCCCAAGATTACCACAAGAGCCTTTGTGTGAAGGAGAGGACAGAATTCAAGGACAGAAATGGGAAACTTGTGCTTTGCTGGTATTCGGAGTGGAGGACAGGGCTGTGCCAAGTGAAGGGGCAGCCTCAAAAGGCTGGGAATATAAGGAAGGGGTTTCCCAAAGCTTTGGCGGGCATATAGCCAGTGGATATCTTGCACTGACTCCTGTAGGACTTGTGGCCTCTGAAACTATAAGATGATCAATTATTTGTGTTGTGTTAGGGTGCTGAGTTTCTAGTGATTTACTACAGCAGCCAAAGGAATCTAATACAGTGGGGAGTTGTAGCCTAAGATGGTGTTTTCTGTTTGGCTGAATTTGCTGGCAGCCACGTGGTGTAGATGCAAAAGGGAGACAGGTAGGGAGCTTCCACTCAGGCCGGGGCCATGGCTGGGGATGTGGTAAAAGCCACAGGACTGTGGCAGTGCTGTAGGGTGGGGTACACTACTGAGTGACCCTGAGTCTGCCTGGGGGCAGCACTGGCTCGGGGTCACCCTGATTGATGCCCAGCACAGATCCCGAGAGAGGCTCAGACAGGGGTGGGAAGAGCCTGCAGGCTGCCTGCTCTGTGAGCGCACAGCACAGCAGCCCGTGTCCTTGAAAATCCAGCCACATCAGAGATGGACAAATGGCTGGCAAATGCCTGTGGGACAAAGGCAGTGGCTTTGACATAGTCTTCAACTTTGTGAGAACTGAGATGAAGTCACCGAGGAAGACTATTATCTCTTACAAACCTGTGATCTTGATGTGCCCCTCTTCGTCCAGCAGGATGCTGAAAGAAAGGGACAGAAAACACAGGCTTAAGAGAGACTAGCCCTGCCTGCCCCATGCATGGCACGTAGAGTTGGGTCCCCTGCAGCTTGAGCTTACTGCACTGTACCACCTATTGGGTGTGGAGGGGGGTTCCCAGATAGCCACCTCTCTGTCCCACAGCCTCTGCCAGTCCAGGAGAGTAATCAAAGCTTCTTGTTCTTGAGCTTGGGTGCTGCAGGCTTGAGACTTTCTGAGTCCCCCGCAAAGGGCTGGGATCAGGCAGTACCTGGGAGGTCCTCCATGCCTGGAGTCCCCCAGTCTCAGATTTTAGAACCAATCTTGGCCCTTGGATGGGTGGGTGCACAAACTTGGGCTTCAGAAAGGAGTCTTGTGGGGTTCCTCAGGTGTCATCTTATGATGAGTCCCAGTCTCAGTAAGACAACTCCCTCAGGTGCTGGTCTGGTTGCTGTTCAGCTTTGTCACACCACAAGTGACAGCTAGCCTTGCTATCCCTGGTGGTAGAGTCCTGGTAGGTGGACTCCTTGTGAGAGAATGGAGGGGGCTCGGTAAGGTTGGGGTGTGAGGATACCCCATCAGGCCATCTCCTTTGGGCTGCAGGCTGGAGCTGGGATTATGACACCTCCAGACCCCAGGTTTCCATCTACCCTATCTATTTTCTGGGCTGTCATTAAACCTGTGAGATCCTCAGAGATAACAGCCCAACACTAGGGAGACAAAAGTGTGGGCTGGAGAGAAATAAAAGCAAAACTGTGAGGGATAATATATGGTGATTGTTTTTATTCAAAAAAGTCTGAGGAGTAAGGAAAGCACCACAGACTGCAGCCTGGGAGCCCACGAAGCTGTTGCGCTGAGGGAAGCTGTCCAGCCACAGAAAGGACCTCCCGTCTGCAGGTTTCCAGTCACCTGGCCCCCTTCCCTGGTCATCCAGTTCATGAGTTGAGTGGGGTCGTTGGGGGCTGGGAAGGGGATGCGGGGCTGGAGTGTAACAGGACAAGTTTCGGTCTACGGTCTACGGGCTCTGCAAGTGTGCCTAAGGCCGCTGCTCTGGGTGCTTCATGGTGGCTACAGTGGTAAATGTTATCTTATAGTAGTAACATAATTTAAAAATCTTGCCATGGGATTAAAGCATAATACTATTCTGTGGAAATGTGAAGAAGGGAAGGGTCCCAGAACAGTAAGATGATACGTTATAATTAAAGAGGAAAGTGTTGTATCCTTACATTATGATTATACTGTCTTTGCCCCCAAATCAAGCAACTTTCAAGACTCGCTCCCTAATGACTCTAATTGAACAACAAAGCCTTTCTCTTCATCCTGAAATTAAATAGTACTATTCTAGCTGCAAGGATCACTTTGACCTTTAAGAAAAAAACCAGGACTAGGGCTCCTTGCTTATTGCGTGCAGGTTGAGAGAGAGCCCCTTGCTCACTGGAGGCTGCAGGGTAACTACTGGGTGACCACTATGCCTGTGGGCAGGAGGATGGGCACTGCCTGCACAGGACTTGGCCCTCGGACTGGTCAGCTGGAGGGCAATTCACACGGGTCTGACCTCTGAGATGACCTTTGCAGATAGTGAAGTCTGCTTTGGAAAGCATCTTGGCCTGGGCCTGCTTCTGGAGGGAGACAGCAGCAGCTTGCAAGCTATGGCTCTCTGGGGCCATCAGAGATGTTCTGCTGAGCAGTGTCATGTGTCATGCGTGTGGGCAGATATGCCTCACCTATGTCACCTATCATCCAGGTACTTCCTATGAACGACAGACAGCCACATCTAACGAGCTAGGCTCAGAGATATTTGTCATTATCTTTATCTCAAACAGTGCAGGTGAAAGGAGGGACAAGCAGCAGGGGCTGGCATCTGCCCCGATCTTATGATCCCTTGGTATTGCGGCACAGACTGGGCTGTACCGATGTGTCCACGCCAGCTGGCTACACCAGGTGGGTCCTCCTCTGGGCAGGTGTGAGCTGTGGTCTCCAGGTGACACAGCTCCGCCTCATAGGTAGCGAGTAGCCTGTGTGAAGTCAGTGGCTTTGCCTCAGGACATACTGCAGCCTGGCCAGTGGAACCTAAAGCAACACCCACCGGGTCTCCTAAGTGGCCCCTGTGTGATGAGTTTTCCTCAGCACACAGAAAAGCACTCACAGTGGGAGCACTTCGGAAGGGTGCTAATATTTCAATTTAGACGAGATTAGCAGACTCCCCTAGAAATACCATATGGGAGATTCTGGCTGTGGTGGGATCTCGGCCTGGGGATCCCGAGGCCACTGTCTCTTGGGGGACCTGTCACTTATAAATGGATCAAAAAGTCAACCAAGAGGAGGCAACTTGGCCCTTTTCCTTGGTTTGTTGAAATAGCTGACAAGCTCCCTAAATCTGGAGCCAGGAGACAAGAGGGAGAGAGGCACAGACACATGTCTTTCTTGAAGTGCTCCTTAATGGCAGAGGTAACCTGTTTCAGACTGGGGGGAAAACATGGAACCAGAGCCATGGGCCCCCCTCCAACTTGCTGGGGCACCCACGGGCCTGTCTCAAGAACCTGGGCCTTGTTGCTCTCTGGCCTTAATGAGGATCAGGTGGGAACAGCCTTGGGCAGGAGCCACAATACAGCTGGGAACATTTCCAGGGTGGGAAGGTGGCATTTCACCCCACTGGATTACAACATGGGTCCATCCCAGCCCCCATCTGGAATGCATTTACTTAGGAAATAAGTAAGTGTGCTTCCACTTTCCCTCACTTACTTCTCAGGCTTCAGATCCCTGTAGATGATCCCCAGGCCATGCAGGTGGTCCAGAGCCAGGGCCAGTTCTGCCAGGTAGAACTTGACATCCTCCTCAGTGAACATAACCTACAGGGGAGAGAGGGCCCTGCTAGTCAGCTCCTTCCCCAGATGGCAGTTCTAAGGAACCCAGGAATCAGCCCAGGAAGGCACATGCAGCACAGGCCCCAGGCCTTCACCAAGGCTGCCCTGGCTTCTCTAATGGAGAGGTGAGTTTCCAGAGCTTCAGGGGCAGTGAGAAACAGACTTGGAGTCCTCAGACAAGGTTTCGTCTTTGCCAACTTGTGCCACTTGTCCCCCAGAATTGCTCGGCTCTAGAGTGTGTTTTGGGGTTCCTGATCTGAGTGCTTCTGATGCAAATTTCTCACAGCTCAGTGTGAATAACCAAGCCACACTGAAGGATGGAAGAGCAGTACAGAATGCAGAGCGCAGATCTCGCTTTTGTCCCTTTGTCCTTAGGCTCACCTTCAACTTGGGTTCACACAAAGTAGCCCTAGCACATGGCTGGCTGCCCAAAGAGATTATTTCTACCAACAGCAGCACATACGTGGTACTCTAAGCTGGAGAGGCTCCTTGGAGCGGGACTCATAGGTTTCAAGGGCAGAGGCTCTCAGATGGCTGGGACAGCTATGTGCGTAGTGGAGACCAGGTTGTCACTGAAGGGCCACTTCCAGTTGGGGCTGCAGCTTCCTGGACAGTGACTCCAACATTTCCCATCGTTGGACTCTGGAATCCTTGCTCCATTTCCTATGGGTTATGGGCACCGTTCCTGCCTGGACATTTCTTTTCTAAACTGACCAATTTACCCAGTGGGCTTGCCGACAGTCTAAACTGCCCCTGGTCAAATTCCCTCTTGACGGACTCTACGTCCTTTTGCTGGTGCTGTGGATTCTGTGCTCACACTCAAGGTGCCACCGTAGTTTTCCACTCATCCAAGTCTTAGTGTGGTCCCCAAATAAAGACAAGCAATTTACCTCCACTATGGGCCCCTGAAGGCAACCACAGTGTCCTGCATGTGACAGGATATGTCTGCGGCGCTCTGACCAAGAGAGCACAGGGGAAGTGCTTTTCACATTTCACAGCGCAAGAACCTGTGCACCCACAGGAGACAATCCCTGCCGTGTAGAAAAGGGTCTCACATGACTCCCCTGTGAGGACTTACAGGGCCTTTTGTGAATTACTGCTGCCTCCGACTAGAAAGCTTGCCCAGCGGGCACTACACTAGATGCTGACTGACAGCAGAGCCCAGGGGCTGGTTTCCTACAAACAAGATGGGCAGAGAGCAAATGGATGGGTGCTGCACCAGAAAGTGGCAGATGCTTGTCACTGGGTAGGCCCTGACCCAAAAGCTTTGTCCAGAACACAGAATGGACTCTCCTCACCCGGTATCATCCCCTAAATAAGCAGCCCCATATGTACCGTGTGCTATGGCTCTAGGGACACCTTAAAGTGGTGAGAGCAGCCCTTGGACCTGAGGACCCCTCAAGCTATGGGGGTCCCAGAGCCTCCCTGGCCTACTCAGCGGCTCCCTGGGAAGTCCCCAGAGGAGTGGCTGGAGAGGTCAGGGTTAACCCAGGCTTTAACAGAACTGACAGAGCTCAGGCTGTGATAATAGGCTGCCAGCTTCTGAGGCTGTGTGTGTGGCTGAATATCAGTACTCATGTATACATGTGTGCACACACGTATGCACACACACACATCCTACACCACGCACACACCACACACATCCCACATGTAACATGCACTACCCATCACATACCAACCACACAGCCCACACAACACATATTACACACACCAGACCACACATCTCACATACCATATCACACATAGACACCACATGTACATACCATGTAACACACATACACCATACACATAGCACCCCCCACACCATACAGCTATGTACACCACACCCTCACCCTCCAGGCCACCTCCCCTCAGATCCCCCAACTTTAGAACTACAGGCAGAGTTGCCCATGGCAGCAGGTGGCTCACCTCCTTGGACAACCTGGTGAAGAGGTCTCCACCACGCAGGAAGTCCAGGATCAGGTAGAGTTTTCCTTCCGTCTGAAAGGCTGCGGAAGGAAACACAGGTGAGCCCTGGACCGTGCATGGGGTCCCCGTAACAGTCTTCTTTGTCGTTTTCACTTCAGTTTCTCTTTGACTTATACAGGACTCGGTGACTTGCAAGCTGTCAACTTCAGAAGTGCAGGGGAGGCCAGGGCAGGCCAGGGACAATGAGCTCTGTGTCTCACTTTCCTTGGAGCCATGAAGTGTTTGCTTTCTTTGTTTTTTCCTCCTCCCTTTTAATCACAAAGGGATGCACAGAAAGAAATGCATTTCCTTATGCGAACTGTTCCCAGAGTCCCCATGGTTACTCAGTTGGGACAGCCGGGTTTCTCTAGGAAACTGACTTTTGCAGAGAATAGTTTGTGAGCACTATGTGAATGTCCTGCTAATGCTGAAGGGATGTCTCATTTATCCGCATGCCAACAACTCAGAGGGCAAGACAGCCTACCACTGGCCTTCTGCTCGGGCAGCCTTGGTGACTGGTCAGTGGAACTGTCTGTGTCACTATGATGAGGTCATGCTCCCTGGTCCAGTCGCCTTGTGTGACAGTGTGCCTCAGGTCACAGGCTGCCCATGTGACTCTTCTGCAAGGTGTAGTGAGGATGGGCCCTGCCCCACAGATTAGGCTCCCGCGCATGAGGACCAGGAGAAATCAGGGGTTGTTACCAATGCTGTGACAGCCAGGTAACCTGGGGAAATCTGCCAGGTCTGTTAGGCCGGTGGGAAGGCTTTCTATCTGGCATCTGTTTGTAGACACAAAACACAGGGCTGAACAGGGTCCTGATATTTGTGTACTAAAAAACATCTAACCTTCTAAGAGTAAATGCTGAAATCATAAATGTGGTGTTTACAACCAGGGCCTCTAGCTAGAAAACCCTTCAAGTATACACTAGAGGGGCCCAGGGAGATGGCTCAGTAGAATAAGTGCTTGCCTGGCAAGCACAAGGGTCTGAGTTCAATCCCCAGTTCTGCCAATATACATATATATATATATATATATATATATATATATATATATATATATATATATAATGTTAGATAATATATACATATATTAGATAATATATGTATTACAGTGTGGAGTATGGTGCATCCTGAGGCCACTTACAGAGGTAATGCAAAGAATCTGTTTAAAAGTTTGTGCCAGGTGTGGTGGCTCATGCTTGCAATCGCAGCTACTCAGGAGGCTAAGACAGGAAGATTGCAAGTTTGAGCCTAGACTGGACAACTTAGCAAGATCCTGTCTCAAAATAAAAAATAAAAAGCACAGGGTATGTAGCTCAGTGGTAGCATACTCAGGGGTCTGATCTCCAGTACCACACACACACACACACACACACACACACACACACACACACATCTAAGACACCTAATTCTTAAATTCTTCAGAAAAAATGCTCTGGGAACCACTTTAAATAACAAATAGGCCTGGGCTGACCCTGTTAGACCAGCAGCAGCTGGAGTGGTATGGGAGGACAGAGCAGGCCTCTGGAGGAGGCTGTGGGCATGGTTGCCTCAGGCTGGAAGGGACATGGGCCCCTTGGTTCCGGCAAGCATGAGCGCAGCAGCTTCCTTGTTCTTTCCTGTACTGGAGTCTCTTGGGGAGTAAGCTTTAGCATGGCGTGGTGACTCCTAGCTATCCTCTCATCCCATTTTTTAAATTGGATTTTTGCTTTTCATATGACATTGTAAATGCATGACCTTCACTAAATTATTTGCTCTGGCCCTCAAAAGATGGAAGTAATTGCCCACCTGGAGGAGCAGTTAGAAGTTGTGCTGAACCTAGTTTTTACAATGCCTGTCCTATAGCAATCACTTAAAAGACTGTTAGCACTGGGGCATAAAGAAATTTTTGGATCACAAAACATTTTATTTTGAAACAACACAAAATGTATCATGGTTCATCCAATCTAGGTCAGAAGACCTTTATGTTGATCAGCAGTGGTGACAATTTACAATAATGAACAGCCCCATCTCTGATTAGGTCGTGGGGATAAAAACAAGGCCTCTTAGTCTTTGAGAGAAAATAAATACAAAGGAGAATCGGGATTGGGGACCAGCCAGGACAGGATTCTGTGACACAGGGAGGACTCTCTTCTTCCTTATCTGTTCTTTTGTCCGGTTTCCTCTGATCTGGAGGAAGCTGCCCTGGGCCTCTCTGGCAGGTCCCGTTTCGCTGTGTCACTGTACTCACCATAATGCAGCTTGACAATGAAAGGGTGATTTACTTCGGCCAAGATGTCTCTCTCCATCTTTGATCTGACTCGGTCTCGGACTGCGGGACACAAATAAAAGGCTTTTCAGAAGTGGGAATTTGGAATTCTGAGGAACACCAAATACAAAATGTGAGCTAACCTAATTCCCCCAAGTTTGTATTAGGAACTTTTCTAATGTACACAAAACTTGGAGTGGCATAATGGTCACCATATATTTGCAACCTATTCTGAATGACTTCAGGCATGAACCATTTGCTTGCGCTCTCTCTCTCTCTCTCTCTCTCTCTCTCTCTCTCTCTCTCTCCCTCCCTCCCTCCCTCCCTCCTGGAAGGGAAGGGGGAGGGAATGTAAAAAGAACTAAAATGTGCCTTATATGTGTACCAGCTACTCACAATAAATGTATTCTTTATGTACTAATAAAAACATACTAATTAAAAATTGTAGCATTTTACAAAGTGCCTTTACACACATTTCCTAGAATAGGGAGAAGTTTTTTTATGTATTTGGTACAGGGTCTCGTTATGCAGACTGATCTCAGTCCTCCTGTTTTCAGCCTCCCCAGCACAGGGGTTACAGGTATGCGCCACGACACTGAGTCTCACTGGCCAGCTCAGCATGCCTGGGGCTGGGGCCGGTGTGGCATGTGGTGCCAGGAATCAAACCCTGGTCCCTGTGCTTGCCTAAGCAGGTGCTTACTTAGTCTGCTGAGCTATCTCACTAGCCCAAGGAGAGTTTTTCACATAACATTAACCTGGTGTCACATCTAGCAAATTATTGATCATTCCATGATATCATCTGACTTCTAATTCACATCGATCCCCAAATTGGGATCATTTTATAGTGCTTAGTTTTTTTCAACCCCTCATCTAGCCAAGGGTCACACATTTTATGGGTTGGCAAATTGTCTTATTTGCAACATTTACCTGTCATGGTCATTTTGACTTTGGAGAAAAGCCAGAAATCACATAGTACCAGATTCAGTGAGTAAGATGGATGAGGACACAGTGTAATGGGGATACTGGACAGAAACTGCCATGAGCATTTTGGATTAATTCAGGACAATAGTGCAACTCAAGACCCTCACCAAAGAGGACTTCTGGAGTCGCTCTGGGAAATGGCAAGAACGATGGGGTAACTGTGTTCCAGAGGGGGGGACATTTTGAGAGGGATCAATAGCAACATGTCTTTTACTATAGTACATTTTAAAATTTAAATCTTTACTGCATGTCTTGATCGTATCTTGTACACTTTCTTTTATTTTAGTGTGTTTAACGAATGACAGTAGTATTCTTGGTGATGCTCACCCCATCTCACGTTCAGCCCTCTGGGAATGTGACATAATTATTTCTGAGGTGAATGAGTCCACACACAGAAAGAGAACTACCTGAGGAAAAAGCTACTCTGCATTGCACACGCTAATTGTGCACCTAGGCAGCATCCAGTGGCTTCCTGCAGGCTGGAGGAGGAAAGGTGGAAAAGTCTTCACATATTCCTGCTGTGGCCAACATGGCTAGGTGCGACTGGACTGGGTACTGAAAGTCACCCACGGAGTGTGCTTGCAGTGTGTTCGCCTCAAGTTTTACTTAAGAAGCCCTTCCTGAAGGGCAGTATAAAATAACAGCAATAACAATAAAGTGACATAAAGGGCAGGCCAAATAACTCAGTGAATTAAAGCACCTGCAAGCAGATGCAGGGGCTGGGGTTCTATCCCCAGGCCTGCCACGCTGGCTCTGCCCCAAGGGCGCTCTGAGACAGTGATTGAGACTGGGCCTGGTGGCATGCGCCTGTAATCCCAGCACTTGGGAGGCTGAAAAGAGGAGAATCACTGAGTCTGATCTAGTAGTGAGACCCTGAACACC